CAAGGGCATCCTGGGCTATACTGAAGACCGGGTTGTTTCCTGTGACTTTAACAGTGACACACACTCTTCCGCCTTCAACGCTGTGGCTGGCATTGCCCTCAAGGACCACTTTGTGAAGCTCATTTCCTGGTATGACAATGAATTTGGCTACAGCAACAGGGTGGTGGACCTTATGGTCCATAAGGCCTCTGGGGAGTAAGAGCTCCCTGGATCACCAGCCCTAGTGAGAGGAAAAGGCCCTCAGCTACTGGGGTGTCCTTGCCCCAAATCGATCCCCCAATACACTGAGAATCTCCTGACCTCCAGTTTCCATTCTAGACCTCCTTAAGAAGGGGAGGGGCTTAGGAAACCCTACCTTGTCATGCACCATCATAAAGTTCACTGTTCCCTCCAAAAAATAATAATGATGAAATTATAGTATAGTAAATACATAAACCAGTAGTATGGTCCTTTATTATCATTATCAAGTATTATGTACTGTACATGAACATATCTGCTACACTTTTATGTGACTGGTAGCACAGTAAGTTTGTTTACACCAGCATCACTGCAAACACATGAGTAATGTGTTGTGCTAGGATGTTAAGACAGCTGCCATGTCACTAGGTGACAGAAACTTTTTGGCTCCATTATAATCCATGGCACCACTGTCATATATGCAATCTGTCGTTGACCAAAAAGTCATTTTGCAGCGCATGACTATAACTATTATATGGGGAGTGGTTAAATGACTTATGTCATATCTACTTCAAAGAATGCTATACAACACTTAAAATTATGTAGACATGGAAAAATATCCATATGTCATATAGTGAAGAAAAAGGTAAACTATGATATAGCGTGCATTGGTGAAATAAAAAGTATCTAGGTGAATGACTTTCTGTTGACTGTGTGTGCATCAGTCTTTCTCAATCTCACGTTCACATTCGTTTGGGAAATGCTGAACATTATACCCTCTTGTGGAGATTCACGTTAGCCCTTAAAGCTTCCTAGAGGTCCTAGAACAAAGAAATGTGTTTAAGTGGGTTTAATCCAGCATCTATCAAAACTGAATTGACCAAAGAGCCACCATTGTCTCGTAACACTCATTAAAACAAAACTATTGTTTCACAGAACAGATTTTGGGAAACTGGTAATATAAGCATAGGAAAAAGTTGGAAAGGAGATACAAGATGTTAATAATGTTTGTTTTCCGGGTGTTAGAATTATGGGTACTCTTTCTTCTTTCTGTATTTTATGAAATTTTCTTGCAACAAGTATGTATTACTTTCATGATCACATCAGTAATAAGGCTATTCCCATTTTTCATTTGCACATTTTAACAAAGAAAATCAAGGCAAACATTGTTTAAGACGAAGACAGTTTAATTTTAACTGATAGATACTTTCTCATTGAAAGCAAGTAGCATGTTCTCCATTCTCTTGGAACTCAGCAAGATAAATATCACGCTTGCCCAATCGAATCTTCTAGTACTTCATTGGGCTGGCTCACCTACAAGAATACTGAGAAGGAAGAGAAAATAGTGAATACTGAACAAAGTTTAATTTTCTATATGGTCTCCTGGTCTGCACAGTTAATTTGTACTTATCTCACCTTTTCCAAGATAGAATTTTAGACAGCTTCTTCTCTTAATATGAACCAAATGATTTCATATGGACAAAAGGTTTTCATGACTTGAGAAAATGAATAAGAATGTGTTTCCAGTTCAGTTGAGATTGGAGGTAGAAGTATGGTCAGGTAGTTTTTCTTCTTTTGTTTTTAAAGTATTATCGAAAAAGACATTATAATCAAATAATACAGTTTGTTGGAAAGATTAGAAAGTGCAGAGAGACAACAATAAACATTAAAGTAAATAACCACAATAGTAATAATAATTAAAATCACCTATTCAGTACCACTAGGAGATAACCAATGTCTAGTATTTTCATTAGGTACTTCAAGACTTCCCCCCCGTACGTATAGTTTTTAATAACAAATTGGATTAAATTGTATATCCTCTGCTATAATCTGCTTTTTTTTTCATTCAACAATGTTTCATGAATGATTCCACGAAATTGTCTCTCTACGACAATATTTTTATTATTATAGTACTCATTGTATGAATGTTCAATGCTTTCTTTAACCAACCAATGGACATTTATTTGTTTCTATTTTTTCACTACTGTGAACTGTACTAAAAGTTCCTTATACACATATATTTGCACACTTGCTGGTGCCAGTCAAGCCCCTTGATTGTCCCTGGAGAACAAGAGATAGCCAGGCTTCCATGTTGATTTCCTCAGGTAAGGAGTAGCCAGCTTAAGTCTTCATTAATGCCACAGCTAGTGGTGTATTGGTGAATAAAGAGGATGAATAAAGAGGCACAGAGAAACTTTGCAATCTTTGCTATGAAATGTATTAATAAAAAATCAAATATTATTGAGAGTCTACTATGTGCCCAGTACCAAGTGCCAATTTTTCCTGTGCCTCAATGTGCCCTTTTATGACTATAGACTTAAGTTTTCCTTTATTTCTGCAACATTTAAAAAAATTATACCTTGGAGTGTTTTTGTTGTTGTTGTTATATTATTTTGATTTTCTTCTACAAAAAAAAAATGACTTATGTCTCCTGCATCTATTATTTTTCTCTAATCTTACTTTCACTAAAATCTTTATTTCTATTTAATAGTCCTGGCTTTTTTGATCCCGTATTCCATATCTACTTTTGCAGTATTTTTTAATCAATGTCTTCTTTTGTTTTGTTGTATCTGGCCTGCCCCCATGCCCTCGCTGTCCTGATGTTTCTTTCACTAGCAAGCTTGTTTGTTCCCAGCAAGGGTTTATTGGGTTTTCTCCTCAGGTTGAGCCACTGGCTTCAAAGATGAAACTATTTCTCTTGGCATGTTGCCTACTTTATCTTCACAGAAGTCCCTCTGAATGTGCATATTTAACCGATATCAGATGCTTCTGATGCGGGTGGCCTGCTGGCCACAATTTGAGTAATAGCGACTGAAAAGATATAGAATCTGATATATCTTGACTTGAGTCCTGGATTCTTTAGTTGGGAAATGCAATCTTCTTCTGTGTTTGGGAAGAAGGAACAAGGTTGGTGAACATATAGCCAGTCTCTGTTCAGAGAAATAAGACTGTGCAGACCAGGAGACCTTTTTAAATCCCATCATACACTGTCTCCCACCATAGCACTGACCCACCAGTTTGTAATTATTCATTTGTCTTATTTCTCTGTCTTATTGACTACCTGATATCTGTTCCGCTCTTCCTTCTCCATATGAGACACAGCCACTCTGTAGCACACATGGGAAAATGTCACCCAGATTCCCCCTTAGAAATGATCTTGTTTCTCTAGTTGCTGAGAGTGCTGTCGAAACACAGCCTTTAGCTGTTAGCAATTTCAAGGTTGGTCTCAGCTGTCAAGATCTGCCTATACTTCCCACATCCATTAATGGATCGATGTGTGGTTATAAATGTCCAGCTATTTCAAGGTAATGTGGGACAGCTCTGATGGGGTTAACTGAGACTCTGTTGAGGTTGCAAGGCTGTTTAACTTTCCCCCTCCTCTCCCTACCATCCGCAGGCATTGATCCCTGATAACACTCTGCATACCAAACACCTATCTCACTCTCTGCTTCTAGAACACCTGACTTGGTAGCACAACTTTTTCCCGAGACTCAAATCCCAAATGTCACTGTGTGCAGCTCAGAGTCCAGAGTATCTGGGTGATGTTTGTGGTTCTCTCAAGTCTGGGTGTAGCCCCTTCTTGCTTAAGTGACCTAGGAACTGAAAGAAGTTGTCTGCCCCTGATCTCCACACCCCACATATAACACAACGATGGATTAGGAAGAGGATAACTACCATAAACATTCTCATTTGAGAAGGGGAAGAAGGGGAAACACACAACAGTCATCGCTTTGCAGTAATACTGGAATCCTGCTGGGCAGACATCGATTAGGCCATGGTCTTGCTTTATAGGAGAGCTCCCTGACCCATTGCCCACCCTTTGGGAGGCCCTTCCTGTCCATTCATTATTCTCTATAGCTGCATCTGAAGCCAGCTTTGGGGAGCATGCCCTCCTGGGAGCCTTCAAAGTCTATGTCCAGATACTATTTTAAGGCTCAAACAATGGATAGCTCATTTTGTTCTTGTTCATGGTTTTTTTGGCAATAAGCTTCTCTCAAAAACTTAGCTGACTTCTCTTAGGCTGTAATCAGTTCTATGTGCCAGTAACCACATATCTACGGTTGTTTCCTAAATACAGGTTTTGACCCTGTGATCATTTTGAGGTTCTTGGAAGTTATAATTGGAAATACCATACGCTTAATTCGATCTTTGCCCTTGAGCACTTTATTAGATTGTGAAGTTTGAACAGTCTTTCGCTACACAAAGCCTTTTTTAATCCCATCATACACTTTCATAGGTTCCCCTACTTGGACCGTCTCCCACCATAGCACTGACCAACCAGTTTGTAATTATTCATTGTCTTATTTCTCTGTCTCTCTAGCAACCAAGACAGAGTCAGATAGTAAGTGCTGATTTAATTAATAAAATTTCCAGCTATGCTTAACTATATTGTTAACTATTTCAGGAATGTCTTTGGCTTCGTATGATTTATGTAGATAATTATTTTCATAAAATTTCAGGCAATTGAAAAGAATTAATGATATAATCTCTGCCCATTTTCCATGTATAGTTCCTAAACCAAAGGGAAAGATGATTAGGAGCTAATGAAGTTAGTAAGAAAAATCATCAGTTGCAAAAATTGGTTGTTAAATATCACCTGAAAGTCGTTGATGATGGACAGAGCAGGTTGGAGGAAAAAAAAAAGAGAAAGTAGAGGAGACTTTTTAAAAGGGAGTTGTGTGGCCTTTCGGAGTTTTGTTACCAGAATCACCTTTCTTAAAAATTTCCCTTAATTACTGATGTGCAGGATGGTGGGGAACCTGATTGTTCTAGCTTCTTCCTTAGGTTCCCTCTCTCTTCCCCTCTCCTCATCCCACACCAGCTTACGTGAGGCAGCAGAGAATCCCCAATAGTACGGTGCCGATAAGAAAAGCAAAAATGGCTGCGGGAGGTATGACACTCTTCACGAGAGTCCACATGTAATCCTTGAAGTTGCTCAGCCAGGACCTTTGGTTTTCTGCAGAAAGAGCATAGAGTTTCATTGAGGAGAAGAGGTCTAGTAAATGATGAGGCTGGGATCTGAACCTTGGTTCAAGTTCAAATAGTCGTCCCAGATATTATGCTCTTATAGTTGCCCAGAGCCCATATCCTTATCTACTTTGCTGTGGGTATCCTCAGATGGGTATCATCTTTGCCCCTTTATAAGTCAAATAGGAACAATAATCTCTGCCCTAGATAGCTTAAGGGCTATTTGGAGGTCTTGGCCAGTAAATGGGGGTACTCTGTAAAAGAGGAGCATGAATGAATAACTAATGTGTTGTTGTTGCCTAGAGTATGTTTAGGAGTTCTGCAGGAGGCTGAGGGCAGTGAGTGTCCCAGGAAGAGAAAGGAGAAGGCCACCAGCCCCAGGATCATCCAGACGGGGAAGGGGCCAGGATAACTGGCAGAAGCAACTTTAGAGGGAGTCTGCTGATCAAGGTAAGGCTCGAGATATTGAGATATTGGCTTTTTTCTTTAAGAAGTTGGGGAGGAAGGAGAAAGTACTGTGATTTAACCCCAAGGATAGAGGTAGAGAAAGCAAAAGTGTTTGAGTGTCTGTGATGTGGAGTTAAGAGGATTGACCACTCAACAGCAAGACAGTTTCCAGAGCTGAGCTTGTGCAAAGTATCTGAGCAGCATGTGTGTGCATGTTGGAAGCTGTGCTTTGGGAGCACTTAAGCCACAGATCACTGGGTCATCAGATTTAGCTTAAATTTCACTTTCTTTGCCAAGTGTTCCCTGACCCCTCCACTAAAATGACTTTAATTATCTTTTTGTCCTCAGGGAACATTTGTCATATTCCATGGGAGGTTGGCGACTATGGCTTTGGTGCTTCGCCTGTGAACTCATAATCCATGTCATTCAGCAAAGGGTTTGGTGCACAGTAGGTGGGTTAGTGCTCGTTGAACTAAACTCAACCAAACCAGAATAGTTGGCTTTCTTGTGAACATTATCTTTAAATACAAAATCAGTTTTTCCTGACCTGAGACATGAATCTTATGTCTTAAAAGGAAAAGAACATTCATCTTAACAGCAAGCATACCCCTCGAGCGTGGTTTTAATTCTGCTTCGTCTTGTATTCCAAAGGCAGATAAAGGTGACATAGAGAAAGCTGCAGCCTCCAACAGGAGACAAGTCAGAGAGCACAGCAGAAATCCAATTCTCAACAGCTTCTGGGGTTCCATGGACTCTCCTGAAGATCACTCGGCTGCACTCACTCAGCCAAGAGGAGATGGCTTTTTCCTTGGCTCTTTCCAAGGCAGTTGTGTCTGAAAAGTTAGAAAATGCTAGGTAAGTTTTTATTGCAAAAAGTTTTCTCACCTGTCGTGAACACAAGAATAATTAACCAGCTGATACTGTGAATCCTGTACTTGGTCAAGATTCAGCAAAATGCACCCCCCTTCCGAAAAATGAAACAACATAAAACAAAAATTTTATATGCTCTGTCAGGTCAGATACCTGACATTCTTTTCTAAACTAGATCCCCCTTCAGACTTCCCCAACTCAGTAGTGGATATTATTTCAGTTGCCCGAGCCAAAACCTGTGATGTCATCTTTGACTCATTTTTTTCACTCCCACATCTTATTTATCAGAAAAGCCTGTATCGCTTTATCTACAAAGTGTACTCATAATCCTGCCACTTCTGATTACCTCCACTACTATCCACAATCATCGGTCTTCCTGCAGCCAGCCATCCTCATCTCCTTCAAGCCAAAGAGATTTCACTTTGTCGTAAGTCGAATTTTGTGCTACTTACTTTCTCGAACTTGCATCCTATTATTTCCTCCTGATCACTCCAACTGAGCCTCGCTTACCCTTGAACAAGCCAGATATGTTCCTACATTGTGTTTTTTTTTGTTTGCTATTCTCTCTGCAAGAAATGTTTTCCCCCAGATAGTCTCATGACTTATTCTCTCACCTCCTTCAGGTGTTCAAATATCACTTTCTCGATGAAGACTTTCCTTAGAACTCTTTATTAGAATTGTACCACTCTCCCACAAGCTTCCGAATTGTCTTTTCTGCTTGATCTTTCTCCATAAACTTCATCAGAATAGAATATAACATATATTTTACTTTTTTTGTTTTATTATATGTCTTTACTGACTAGACTGTCAAAAACCTGAGGGCAGAGATTTTTGTCTGTTTTGTTCACCACCGAACAGTACCTAGCACATAGGGTGCTCAGGTGCTCAATAAATATTTTTTTGAATGAATGCATGAATGAACAAATGGTGAATTTGGGTGGATATTTTTCATTGCCTGAGCCAACAGTCATTCCTACCCTTCCTTTTCCACTTACTACGTATAACTAGAGAAGCTAGAAAAGCTGAACCCTCCCTTTCCCAGACATTCTTGCAGCCCAAAATGGCTATGTTAACAGAGTTCTAGACAATAAAGCATGAAAGAAATCCGAGGGGCACCTTCTGGGAAGTCTTTTTGCTGTACTGGTCAAAGAGATGGCGCTACCATTTACCCTTTGCACTGCTTCAAACATTGTTTAAGAATTACCTGAAATTGAATCAGCCATCTTTTGACCATGAGGCAACATACATGAGGAAAAGGGCAGGGAAATGACATTTATTCTGGCTCTGACAATTTCAAGCCACTAAACCAACACCTCTATCCACCTACTTCTGGAGTACTTGGTATGAGAAAAATAAAACCCTGTTTGAGTCATTATAATTTCGGCTTTCTATTACTTAAGACATTTATAACCGATACACTCGTCCACCGGCTGATAGGCCTTAAAGAGAGCCGTGTCAGGTGGGGAGCCACTTACTTGAAAATTCACTTAGTGCCAAAGGATCTAAAGAAGCCAGTGAATTAGGCCTCGATCTTCACAGTGTGGTAGAAGAAGCTAGCTAGAACTTTCTCCTGAAGTCTCCGAAGTTCTAAATAGAATTCTAGTGCTCCTTATGATATCATGTACTGCATTCGACCCTCCTCCACTCTTTCTCTCTCTGACAACTAAGCATACGAACATCTTTTTCTGTCTCTGCATAAACATGTGTCGATACTAAAACTTATCCTTACAGTAGCTGTATCCTCTTAGGCTTGAAGGATTCTAAGATATTTTATACGCCACATGGTATCTACTACAGTTTATAATAGTGTATACATGGAACTTTAATAGATGATAAAGGCGGCATTTTATATTATTGGGGAAAAGACAGATGTTTAATGTGATGACTGGTTATTCATTTGCATGTACTAAAGTGAGAGCCATAAACACAAAAATAAATTCTAGATGAATTAAGGACTAAACAAAAATAAAACCATATACATATTGGAAAAAACTATGGGTGGATATTTTTATAATCTTAATGTGGAAAAAGCTACTCTAAGCATGTTTTAAAACTCAAAAGCTATAAATGAAAATACTGATAAAGTTATTGCATAAAAATATAAAGCTTTCATACAGCAAAATACTTGTAAAGAAGGATAGAAGATTAGTGACAAATTAGTTAATGTATTTCATAGCATATATGACAAATAATAGTTTAAGGTTCTTAACATACAAAGAACTCTTACAAATTAATTTTTTAGAAAAGCTGATCACCTCCATTGACGAACTGGCATAAATGGTGTATATGTCAGGGTTCTATTAGAAAAGCAATGGATAAATAAATTGCAGTATATATTATATACTACACTGTAGTATATATTATATAATGGAATTATATACAGCAATTAAAATGAGCCGCTAAGCAATAAATACAATAAAGGTGTTGTGATGTCAGATTATTTTCCAAAATAATTATACCACGAACAGCGTAACAGAGTTCTACCCGGCACACATTCATTTGTCGATTGTATATACTGCAAATATTTTCTTTCACTCTGTGGATGAACAGAAGATCTGAATCTAAATGTAGTCAAATTTATCAATCTTTCTTTCTTAGCCAGTGGTTTTGAGGTCCTGTTTAGGAAGCTTGTGTATGACTTAAGGCTGTCATCTCCTAGAAGTTTTATTGTTTGCTGTTCATAGAGCTTTCATTAATCTGGAATTGATTTTTTTTTTTTTGGTATGGTATGAGAAAAGGGGTCAAATTTTACTTTTTCATATGGATTTCTGATTGACCCAGTACCACTGCTCTGGAGAGCTATTTTGTTAGAAATCAAGTGTCTGTATATGTGTCAATTTACTTCTGGACTCTAAAATGGTCTGTCGGTCTATCCTTGTGCCAATACCACATTGTCTTAATTACTGTGGCTTTAAAATAAATTTTGCTACCTGGTATCAGGAATATTTTGACTAATCTTGGCCTTTTATATTTCTGCGTGTTTGAATTCCATAAGGTAAAAAATGTTGGAATTTAGACTGAGATCGTTTTGAATCTATAGGTCAATTTGAGGAGAATCGGCATCTTTATAACATCGAACCTTCCAATCCTTGACTATATTATATCCCTCCAGTTATTTAGGTTTTTTAAGATATCTCTCAATAAAATGTTATAGTTTTCTAATTAGAGTTCTTTGATATCATTCATGTAATTTATTTCATATGATTTATTAGCAGCCACACCATTTTACATTCTCACTAGCAATGTATGGGGATTCCAGTTTTTCCACATTCTCATCAATATGAGTGACATTTTTTTGATGTTATCGCAAATGTTACCTTTTAAAATTTTTATTTTTTTTACTTTGTTATCGGTACGTAGACATAATTTTCATATTGTACTTCTGTCTAGAAAGTTTGCTAAAATGATTTATTAATTTGAATGACTTTCTGTGAATTATTTAGAATTTTCTACATTCACAATTATTTTTAGTCTGAAAATAATAATTTTATTTCTTTGTTTAAAGTTCTTTTTTTATGTTGAATTGGAAGACAATATTAAGATGGCAATACTCCCTAAAGTAATCTATAAATCCAATGCAATCTCTAATAAAAGCTCAACAGCTCCCCCCTTTTTTTTTGCAGAAATGGAATACCTGACCTTAAAATTTATCCATAATTGCAAGGGTTCCCAAATAGCCAAAATGATCTCGAAAAAGAAAAACAAAGTCAGAGAACTCAGACTTCCCAATTTCAAAACTTACTACAAAGCTACAGTAATCAAAGCAGTGTGTACTGGCATAAAGATAAACATAATAGATTGATAGAATAGGATTGAGAATCAACCACTACACCTAAACATTTATGGTCAATTGATGTCAAATGATTTTCAACAAGAATGGGGTGCCAAGATCATTCAACAGGGGAAAAAGCAATCTCATCGTTAAATTATGTTGGATAACTGGATATCCACATGCAAAAAATCAGGTTGGAACCTTAATTCACACCATATACAAAAATTAATTCAAAATTGATCAAAGACATAAATATAAGAGCTAAAACTATAAAACTCTTAGCAAAAAATACAGAAGTAAATCTTCATGATAGTGGATTTGGCAATAGTTTCTTAAATATGATACCAAAAGCACAAGCAACGAAAGGAAAATAGCTAAATTGGACTTCATCAAAATTAAAATTTGGGGGGCATCAACAGATACTTTAAGGACATGAAAAAGACAATCCATGGAATGGGAGTAAATATTTGCAAATCATATATCAAGAATACACAAAGAATTGATGCAACTCAACAACAAAAAGACAATCCAATTAAAAAATGGGCAAAAGATTTGCATAGACAGTTTTCCAAAGATGTACAAATGACCAACAAGCACATGGAAAGATACCCAATGTCATCAGCAATTAGGGTAATGCAAATCAGAATCACAGTGAGATACCGCTTCATAATCACTAGGATGGCCATTTTAAAAGTGGAAAATAACGATTGTTGATGAGAATGTGGAAAAACTGGAATCCTCATACACTGCTGGTGAGAATGCAAAATGGTGTGGCTGCTATGGAAAATAGTATGGTGGTTCCTCAATAAGTTAATCATAAAATTACCATAAGATGCTGCAACCCAAAAGAACTGAAAACAGTGTTCAAACAAACACTCGTACACAGATATTTATAGCAGCACTAGTCACAACAGCCAAAAGGTGGAGACAATCCAAAAGTCCTCCAACGGATGAATGAACGAACAAGATGGGGTTTACCTACAACGGAATATTGACTTGTTACAAAATGGATAAACCTTGAAAACATTATGCTGAGTGAAAGAAGCCAGACACAAAAGGCCACATAGTGTATGAATCTATTTATATGAAATGTTCAGAATAGGGAAA